TTGCTTACTTTGTGACCTTGATCTAATCACTCTTTCTAGGCTTTTACTTGTTTAAAATGGAAACCATTGTGCTTTCAGAGTCTAAGGAGATCGGAGATTTAGGGCACAGCATGAATAATTTTAAGTTACATTCCATTTCAATACTAGATACAGAAAAGAATTTGTAGACTTTCTTTTTGTTGTTGTTGTTTTTAAAACAATATTTCATTGTGCTGTAAAGACTGACCTTGAACTGATTTTGTAGCCCGGCTGACAGTGATCCTCTTGCCTCTTTGAGTAGTGCTTGGAGTACAGGAATGTGCCACCACTCCCAGCTCTCTGTGTTGTGTTTTCTGTTCCAGAGACTGGTTGAGAAATTTTTTAATCCTGAGATAACAAACAGTATGCATTGTTAAATGGGCCTTGCATTCATTAACCGTGGTTAAAGAGTACTTACTCTCTTTAGGCAGTCATGTAAATACTACATTGTTATGACATCCTATGTAAGTGATAATGAACCTTTTAGAGGGTTCAGTGCTACAAACAGCTGCTGCCGCATGTGTGCCATAGGTTTGCCAGCACTGCCCTGTATAATCCAGGCATAGCAACTTAAACATGTTCATTTAGCTAGTCTCCCCAACCCTGGCCTGTCTCCCTCTCTTCTCTCCTATTAATGCTACACTACTGTGGTACACTTACTTTTGTGAGGGAGATTGTTTTTGGTTTTGTTTTTATTTGAGTGGTTTTGGAATTGAAGCCAGGGCCTTCCCACTGGTTTATCCTCTACCCTCTTTTTATTTTTTTATTTTGAGATATGGTCTTACTGAGTTGCCCAGGTTGGGTTCAAACTTGAAATCCTTCACCCTTAGTCTCCTAGGATGCTAGGATTACAGAGGTACACTACCACACCTGCCTTACATTCCACCTTTTGTAGTGACTACAATCTCAATAAGCCTCTGATAGCATGCATTTTTCTAATCCAAATAAGTCTTCAATGATAGGCTTTATTGTCAAGTGTCTTTTCAGTTAAGCCATGCCTTATCTTGGTTAATTTGCCAGTAAGAAACTATGTAAATTCTCCCTCTCAAAACTTTCCTACATACTTTTATTACTTCTTGGGAAACTGAGGCAAAAAGGTTGCACGTTCCATACTAACCTGGGCTACATAGCTAGACTTCCTCTCAAAAAACAAAACTAAACAAAAACAACAAAACCCCTGGTTAAGTCACAAATGGATTCTATGAGGTGAGGTTGTCTTTCTTACACATCCTTTCCCAACTGTTACTCATCCTTTCTTGCTTTATCTTAATAAGATTCCTTTCTGCTTTAGCCACACTGGTCTGTGAACATATGCTCATGTCCTCCTCTAAGCCTGCTTATGTTGTTTTTCTTATTTCAAATACCCTCACTTTTTCCATTGTAACTTGAAATTAATACTAGTAGCCTTTTCATCACATCTCAGCTGTATCATCCTGCTTCTTATTCTCATCATCACATTTCTGTCTTTTTTTTTAATACCACAGATTGAACTCATGACCTTGAGCTTGCCAGACAGGCACTTATGCTGCTGAGCTAAATCTATGACCCCCACATTTCTGTTTTACGTACGGTCTCTAAGGCCTTTCCTTGGCACTTGTTTTTATGTGGTGGTTTTCTTTGATCCTTGTATGCCTATATTTGTTTCTTAACTAAAGTGTAAATTCTGTAAATGTAGTTTATTTTTATTATTATTATTGTTTTATTCTTTTTTGTTGTTGAGACAGGGTCTCAGCTGTGTAGCCCAGGCTAGCCTCAAAACTCATAGTGATCCTGCTATCTCAGCCTCCCAGATTCTGGGGTTATAGATGTGCACTACTGTACCCATTTTAAATTTTACAAATAAAACTGGCAAAAAGAAAAATAATGACTTTTTAAAACCATGTGGAATTAAATGACATCTTTTATAAGTCAATATGTACATAGTATATTAGTTATAATTAGTCTATATGAGTGATGGCAAACCTTTTAGAGACCAAGTGTCCAAACTGCCACCCAAACCCACTTATTTATCAAAAAGTAGTAACACTGTGAATACAGTACTGACGTTTTAATTTAGAAACAACAACTCGTGCATGTGGTTTGTGTGACAGCAGAGTGGGCTGCACAGATCCCACTGCAGCACACACATCATAGGTTTTCCACCTCTGGTCTATATGTTTTTCTAAGGAATAGGTAATGTTCTTTAGATTTGTCTCATTTAGTTCTCTTTTATTGTCTTCATATAATGATAGCGAGTTGTTCTCTGACATCTGAACTAATTTCGATACTTCCCAGATCTCCCTTTACTTTGTAAACCACTGTGACCCAACTCGGTGGATGGCATGATGTGTAAGTAAATTGTGTGTGTTAGAAAGCAGGAGGCATTTTGAAAAGCTGGTAGAAGGAAAAGAATAGAAGAAAATGCACAGAGAGAATTAGAAAAAATATTTTAAATAGCAGTGTGGCTTACTGAAAAATTGGAGATGAGTGAAATAATAAGAATTGCAAGTGCTATTTTCCTTGGGTGGAATTTGCAAGGTATTTCGTTTTTTTATGTGCATATGTGTTCTGTTTTTTATGATGCTGAGGATTAAATATAGGGCCTCTTGCATACTAGGCAAACACTCAACCACTAACTGTACCCTTAGGTGTTGTCTTTTGAAATGAAAAGTAGCCAAGTATTCTTACCTTTGTATGCTATTCAAAATAGCAACTTCATTGTAATATTAAGATATATAATAGCCAGGCATAGTGGCACATGTCTATGATCCCTGCCCTCACACTACAACTTTGAGGCCTGCCTGGGCTATATAGTGAGTTCAAGGCTATCCTGAACTACACAGTGAGACCCTGTCTCAAAAAGGGGTGGGCCTGAAGATTGAGCTCAGTGGCATAAGCGCCTGCCTGGCAAGCGCGCAAGGTCGTGAGTTCAGCCCCGAGTACCCCCCCTGCAAAAGTAACAATTTGTATCAAAGTATATTTATGTTATACTGACTCTGAAATGCATGTCATGGTACCTGTGAAACGTTCAAATTTGAGAGTGTTTGGTTTCTGTCTTTATTGGGTTGTTTAAAATCTAAGGAGTGACCTGATCTAACAGCAGAATCAAGATCATGTTTTGCCCAATGTGTAAAAGAAAAGCTTATGAAAGTCACAGTACTTGCATTGGAAATTAAGTTAACTTCTCTGCTCTGCTTCCAGTGCATAAGGAACAAAACCCAATACCAAAACAAAAACTTGAATTTACTTATAAAAGCTCTTTACCATGTACATTATGTGATCAATATGGGGCCATCTCTTGGTGTCAAGTCCAGTGTATCAAGAGAGTTTTGTTGGTATATAACGTGAACTCAACTGGTTAAGCAAAATGATAATAAAAGAAGAGAAATCTGTTGGTTTATATAAGTGAACAGTTGGTGTCCATGTCTCAAACAGTGCCATTTGTTTCTATTTTTCAGCTTTGCTTCCTCTCGCGTTTTTGTTTTTTGAGACAGTCTTGCCATGTAGTTGAGGCTGGGCCTGAACACATTATGTAGTCTGGGGTAGGCTGAAACTTGAAGCTATCCTCTTGCCTCCTCCTCTGGAGTGCTGGGATTATACAAGCATGCACCACCATGCCCCACTTCCCTCTGGATTCTTTGGACATCTGCTTCACAAGTCTCTAATCTCCAGGCTCCTCAGAAAAAATTCTGAGTAGCAGCTTTCCCAAGTTCTGGGATAAACTGTGATTAAGACTAGCTTTATGGACTAGTTTCCCTATCACCCTAACCTCAGGGTTATGATACAGTGACCAATCCAAGATTTATTCTTCCAGAAATTGAGAATGAAGGTAGGACTAATAGTGTAAACCACAAGCGTGGGTGATACTGGAGGAAGAATGATTTTTCATAGAAAGAATGGAATACTCTTTGTTCCTACAAAAGAGGAAATTTGTTAGATATTAAGTGGCAGATTTCTGCTATCCCTTCCATGCTGATTTTAAATATTTTATATATATATATATATATACATATATGTGTGTGTATATCCATATATAACACATATGTGTGTATATATATATATATTTGTGGAGAGAATTAAATTCAGGATCATGCTAATTGAAATATAATAAATATAATTATATTCTAGAAAAAGAAGAACCAGTCATACATACAATAGAAACATGTGAGCCAGATACATTACTACCCTAAAACAATTTATTCTATCTTCATATCCTTTGTGCTTTAAAAATTTTTTTATTCTCTCTTCTTATGGTTATACTAGAAAAAGAAACAGTTTTCTTTCTCTCAGCTGAAAGTTGAATGAGTATATGAAAATACTTGGATATTTGTTTTTCCAGGTTCAAGAGATTAGCATTGAAATGGGAAATCTGAATTTCACATATTCCTGTGCTTACCACTTCACAAAGAATTAGCAGGTCTTCTTATTAAATACAAGTATAAACTAGGTGTGGTGGTACATATTTGTAATCCCAGCACTTGAAGGCTGAGGGAAGAGGACCACCATAATTTCAAGGCCAACCTGGGCAACATAGTGAGACTTTGTAACGAAAAATAAAGTATAAGTATAGTCAGGTATGGTGGTGCATCCCTGTGATCCCAGCACTCTGGGTGGCTAAACAGCAGGATCCAAGTTCAAGTTTAGCCTGGACAACCTAGTGAGACCTTGTCTCAGAATTTTAAGAAGAGCTGAGAGTGTAGCTTAGTGTAAAAGACCTGGGTTCAGTCCCCATTATTGGCAAAATAAAAGCATCTTAAAGGATGTCTGTTTGAACTATGGTTCAGTGTTGAGAATACAGAATTACTAGAAAGATGGAATAATGTATATAAAAATAAAGTTCAGATAACAAGAGTCTACAGAGAAAAAGAAAAAATTACTGGGATTATATTGTTTCAATAATCTCTTGATGTAGGGCAGAAGTTCTGTAATATTGTATCAGTAGTGTACAGTAGTGTAGAGGAGGCTGGGATTCTAAAAATAAATATAATTGTCTCTATTTACAGAAGTTGCTGGGTGTGTTTTGCAACTGATGAAGATGATCGAACAGCTGAATGGGTGAGACCATGCAGGTGCAGAGGATCTACCAAGTGGGTTCATCAGGCTTGTCTACAGCGCTGGGTGGATGAAAAACAAAGAGGAAACAGTACAGCCAGAGTGGCATGTCCTCAGTGCAATGCTGAATACTTAATAGTTTTTCCCAAGTTGGGTAAGAATATCTTTAAAGCAATATATGACATTTGATTTTATTAAACATAATTCTGTGATCTTATTTTAAAATAACTGATCTCTAGGCTTTTTTGTGAATTTATTTCCTTTCTGTTACACAAATATCAGACATTTGTTTTGCTAATGGCTTATAATTTCCTTAATATATCCCCAGGGCTATCCATTTGTCTGTATATTAACTATTTTCATTTGGTTTAGAAAAGAAAGGATGTGCATATCTGTGTGTGTAGTCCAATAACAAAGCTGCTGTGTAAAGAAAAGCTGACTTTTAAAGACACCCATTCTCTGGAGACAGATATTGGAAAGAAAGCAGTAGTGTGTTCTAATATTCTCCTTAATTCTACTGTAAGGAATAAAAATAGGGAAAATAAAGATTTAATGAAATGAATAGTTGAGGACCCAGGATTTAGCTCAGCGGCATAAGCGCCTGCCTCGCAAGTGCATGGTCATGAGTTTGATCCTGGGTACCAAAAAACAAAACCAAAAAGATGCAGAGTTCATCTTTAGAACCCAATTCATATGGTTTCCTTTCATGAAAACTGCTATCCTCTTTTTACTGGGAATTGCTGGCAAGAAATGGTCAGCAAGTTTTGAGAATAGGACTAGCATGACAGAAAGTATAGTAGATTGCTTAAAAGAAGCTATGGATGCAAAGTATTATTCAGTCATAAAGAATGAAATCATGTCATTTACAGGAAAGTAGAACTGGAGAGTATAAGTAATCAAAGTTATCTATTGCATAGTTTCTCTTGTAAATGAATTCAAAGATGTAAATAGTAAAATAAAGGAGAGATGGTAGAACACAAAATAGCAAGTCTTTCTGGAGATGGAAAAAGGGATCCAAGAAAAGGAGGAAGGTAGCAAAGAAGACAAAAGAGAACAAAAATGGTCAAGATATGTCACATATATGTACTAGTTCCTCAGTATGAAGGTAATTATTGTAAACATGATACTGTATTATAAACACATTAATTTTAAAACATCAAGCTGTAACTGGGTAATGTTTAGTGCTCATTGCAACCATATGTCTTATGAACTGGTGTTATTCTGTTTAATGTTAATGCATGCTAATGTCCCCCTAACTGAAAGGTATAGGAAGGCAGTTTGGGTTCTCAGAAGATCAGAAGGGAAGAATGACTTTGGGAGGCCATGAAGCTCATGGAAAAATTAGAAATTAGACGTACTGTACTTTTTTTTTATAGCTGCTATGCATACTGAAAACAGACCCATATTTTTTAAATGAAGTAATAAGACTGCAGATAGCAGAATGCTTTTCTCATGTAAAATTATTAATGGGAACAAACAAAGTTATTGTGGTTATTTTTCTAGCAAATCAATGTATAAGAAGAAAGAATAGCCTCATGTAAAAGTGATCTCCAGTATTTGGAAATTGTGGACCACATGGGTCTTCATGCATACAACTGATATTAGGCATCACAAAAAAACCCTAAAATGTCTTTATTGTAAGGTCAAAATAGTAGTTTACAGTAACTTAAAAATCAAGACAAGCAGTTATTGCTGCAGTCCTTTATTTTTTTGATAGCTGATTTACAAAATTAAGTTTTCATGCTTAACCATTTTTTCCCCCTTTCTAGCTTTGCTTAGATAAGCCCAACTTTCAGTTATAGATTGTTGGGAGAGCAGCAAGTATTTGGTCAGTCTGTTTGGTGTTTTACACATTAAAATAGGTGGACATGATCAGGCAAGCTGGCACACACCTGTAATTCTAGCTACTCATAGGTCAAGGTAAGCGGATTGCAAGTTGACAGCCAGTCTGGGCAACTTATGAGACCCTGTCTCAAAATAAAAAGAACTGAGGTATAGCTTAGTGATAAGATACTTAACTAACACACACAAAGTCCTGGGGTCAATCCCTAGTACTTGGGGATGGAAGGAGAGTGGGTTTGAGAGATGGCAATAGATAGATCTATTACTTGGTTGAATTCAGTTCTAGGAGATGAATATTCAGGTTTAATGCAGTAATTGAAGATGGTTTTAAGTATAGCCTAATAAAACATTTCTTTCTACAATAATGAAAAAATGTGCTAGGCAGGGTGGTGCATGCCTGTAATCACAGCATTTGGGAAGCTGAGGCAGGAGAATCTCTATGAGTTCAAAAACAGCCTTGACTAATAAACAAGTTCAAGGCCAGCCTGCACTATATCTCAAATAAATAAATAAATGCATAGATAATGTGTGGAAAAGAGTCAAACTCCAGTTAATCCATTTGTATCATGATTTGGCTTTTTATTTGTAACAATTATATTATTTCATGCCTTAAGTGATGGGTTCAGGCCATTCCCTGTAATGTGTTATGAATATGTGACACTTAAGCCACTTAAGATCATACAAATATTTTTCAGACATCAGTATCGTGAAAAAAATTTACATCTTTCACTTGAACGGGTTTTGTAAGCATCTGTCCTCTTCAGTAGAGAAGCAGACCCTGAATTTGCTCTTTTTCGTCATAATATACTAAAGATGCAGTACTTACTCAAGGGTGCAATTTGAATTACACTGATAATTTCCCATGCTGCCTTTAACACTAACTTGAGGATATATTGTCAAATGCAAGCTGTTTGTAAGTGAAATCATTTGTGAATTTAATAGGCTCTTTTTTGCCTCATATGTAGATACCGCTCTGGCCCTATTCATCTCAGTATACCTTTTCAAGTCAAAGTTCAAAAATAGTTGTTCAAAGAAAAGTTCCTTCTAGATCTCATCTCTCCATTGATAATCAGGATTAAAAGTTGCTTGTATTTCTTTACATGTGAATATGCTAAGACTTGATTCATTCTTAAAATTTTTTTTTATGTGTGTTTTGGTACCCAGTATCAAACTCAAGACCTGGCACTTGCCACTGAACTAAATCCCCAGCCCTGATTCATATCTATACACTAGTGATTTCATGTAGCCACTAAATACTGAAGAGCATATATCTGTGATAGTAATTGTTCTTCCCACTATAAAGCATACATATTCCATAATGTCCAGTTCTATCGTATTAGAATTTTGCGAGTAAATGGGTTTTTTGATCTGAACACTTTAGCCATTGGTTTACAGCTCACAGTAGTTACTCCTGTCTTTGTTTAAAAAAGTTAAACTCTTTGACTGTTCTAATCTTGACTTTCAATGACAAAATTCATAATAGGGACTTTGATTTTTTGGAGCACTTGAAAATGATATGAACACTTCTGTGATGTCTTGAAGCTATTTGTAAAGTACATCTGTGATATAATGTATTACTTTAAAAAGAATAATAATAGAAATGATACAGAATTTCAAAACAAGATAGGAAATTAACAATGGCTATTATGTTGCATATCATTGTCTTCCAGATAGTTGCTCAGATTACCAGATATAGACATGCAAAATTGATCAAATAATACAAGCACTAACTGTTCCTTTCAGTGAACTAATAGAGTAGTACAATCATGTAAGCTGTCGTGTGTGTGTGTGTGTGTGTGTGTGTGTGTGTGTGTGTGTGTGTTTTCCCTCTTATGGTGGGAACAGTGGTATCTCTTAGTATCAGCTAATCACACCTGATTCTCTACTCACAGTCCACTGTACCATCATACAGTTTTCATTTCAATATTCATATGTTGTTTATGACATGATAAACATTTTTATTTTTAATGTATGATGAATATTTTGAGCAGTCAGTTTTTTCAAATAATCCTCTTTTAACTATCCTTGTATCCCTTGAGTATGCCCAGATTGAAACATAGTTAGGAACCTAAAATAATTTCTCACAACCTTTATCATAGTTCTTTTAAATTTGTGAATTGTTTGCTGTCAAAACTTTCTCCTCACTCTGTAGACCAGTTAATAGATTAAGAGGGATCACTGCTGGTCCCCATGTGATGCTCAAAATACACTGGCTAGAAAAAGGAACAAAAGCCAGGCATGGTGGCACATGCGAAATTGATCAAACAATACAAACACTAACTGTTCCTCCCAGCACTCAGGAAGCTGAGACAGGAGGATTGCTATGAGTTTGAGACCAGCCTGGGCTGCAAAGTGAGTTCAAAACCACCCTGAACTGTACGATGAGATGCTATCTCCAAAAAGATTAGAAAAAGAAAAAGTAATAAAAGACAAAAAAGGAAAAAGGACTGGTTAGTATTCTGTAGGATGATCACTGTGTAGCAGTTATTTTTTTTTTTAAAAAATGATTTTCCTAGGAATGTAGCCTTAGTCTGACTGACTAATTAGCCAGTTCTGCTTCTTTTCTGGGACACAGTGGTGGCAAGAATAAATGGGTGTTGTTAAGTGTACGTTCCTCATTGTTGATAAGAAACTTAACTGTGATCAGTCATAAAAAATTTAGACCCATCAGACTTTCCTTCTATTTGCCATTCCACCTTAAGGTTTGCTTTCTTTTCTTCTTGTGAGTTAGATCAGTTGCATGTATGTATCTACTTTAAAAACCTTGCTGCTCAAAGTATGATCTGAGCAGTGTTGGCATCACTAGGGAGCTGTCAGGGCTGCAGAGTATCATCCTTCTGCCTGTCCCTGAATTGAAACTTGCATTCTTTTGTCTTTTTGCTTTTTATTGGTACCGGGGATCGAACTCACGACTGCCTACTTGCAAGGCAAGCGCTTATGCCGCTGAGCTAAATCCCCAGCCCCAAAACTTGCATTCTAATAAGATCATCAGTTGATGTCTATATACATTAAATTTAAGAAGCATTGCTTTAAAACATGAAGGGAATATCAGCTGAAAAATGCCTATCTTTTGCAACAGATAGCAATTTTCAAAGCTTCCTATTGTTACTTCTTCTATAATCTTTACCTAAAATTTTCTTACCATTTATCTGTATGGTTTTTAATTTTGCCTTAAGAGTTTTTCTGTTACAGTTATATCTTGGTACTCGACTACTTGGAAACTTGTTGAATTTGGTACTGAGTACATTTTGATGTGAAAATGTTCAGATGCTCATCATTTATGTAGTACTTAATATTTGTTTGATGACTTGC